GTGATTTAATTTATGTGCAAGAATTTTTACTCCTAGTTTTCTGCATCAAAAACCGTTGTCCCTCCTCGACCATCATCCAACAGGGAAAAGGGTGTGCACTCACAGTGCCTATAAGCAAAGTTTGGCATGCCGCGCAGCAAGCGGAGAAAGGAAGAGTTTAAGGTTGAGACAGTCTGACAATTGAAATGAAAAAGCAGGTGGTCACCCGCTGTATGTGGGTTCTATAGGAAAAATTCAGTTGCTAACGGGAAGCAAAAATTATAATGTTAACCTGAAACTAGTCAAAAATAAAAGTTTAATAAGGGCGACATGAAAAATCTGACGGACTATTACCCAACCTGTCTGTTCTCACAAATCAATAAATTTTTCACAAAGATCATTACCAGACTATCAGCAAGTCTGGACGAACAGCAGCCAAGAGAACATATAGGATTAGGAGTGAGACAGCGCAAGGATAACATCTTAAACTTGAGTCAACTTCTTGAGTGCATAAGAAAATTTCTGCTATTGCGACAAATCGTTCGACACTGCGTAGACGTGCTAGTGAAACACTGCATTGACATCCATTACATCAGCTTGTTCAAGGGACAGAACTTCGGTTGCTTCACAGATGTTGCGTTGTTCGGCAACTCTTTCCGGATTGTCGTCAAGAAGGACGTCAAACGATATCTTATTTCTCCAAAACTTCTCAGTGTCAGTTTGGAAGTGAAATCTCGAGGGATGAACTGGGTCAAGATTATTATCAAGGTTGTGGAGTTCAGCAATTTAAGGTTCGCTGATGATCTGGTGTTGTTCGCGGGAAACGTCAGTCAGCTGAATAAGATGCTGCAAATGATCGAGAGAAAATTGCAGAAGTGGGAATGCAACCCAATCGGCCAAAGACGAAGATTCTGCGATTAGATGCCTTGCCAAACGTGCAGTTAATTCTAAGCGGCAAAAGAATGGAATAAGTAGATACATGCGTGCATTCGAGCTGTGAAACTATCATGTGTTAGACTGGATAGATTCAACGAAAAAAGATAGTCCATTGGCGCTCGTTATATTCTGCCAAAGACATTCTCTTAGACAATGAAACATCGGAAACGAAACCCTCGTCCATCTCGCTGATTCTAGCGTTCTGCCGGCAATGTTATATGGCTGTGAGAGTGATTATTCACTGAAACCGAAGAATGCTAGCCATCTGTCACGGAGGGAGCCATGGAAAAAAATATTGGAATTTTACATAGTTATATCATCCCAAGTGCGGTTATCGCACAACTGAGGGGAGCGAATGAAGTCGTCGTCGAAAGTAAGTATGAAAACTAAGCTGGGTCGGGCACGTATTTTGGCTTTCTCGACGAGAAATGGTTGGCGATGATCGCAGACTGCGTCATTGCGGACGACGAGGTGATTTTGTACGATGCCGTTTGTTCATTCTGTAGTAACCGCCTCGAAAATTTTCTCTTTTGTTTCCCTAAGAGCAGCGTTATTTTCATTTCATTCTACAAAGTGAATTGTTGGTAGGCTGTGCATTGCATAAAGTCAGGTCAAGTTCATTAACTTGTACAACGATTGTTGCTGTCAGAATAAGCGCATCTCAATCTAGAATTAAACAGGCCACGAAATGCATTTATACGGGGCGATTAAGGGCAAAACAGAATATTATGTAGCAATATAAGGTAACTTTTTTTGCAGCACTAGTTGTTTCAGAGTCCGTGCCAGAAAACGCAAAATGGATAGCCGATAGAAAGAGTTTGACTGGAAAAGTGTTGAGCCGTCTGCGGGTGCCCTGATAAAGAAGAGTGTGCGTTTAATGTTTGGGTACAACAGGTGACTATCATCAACGAGCTGGAGTGAGTGATCAGGATAGCTGCTCTGCCGAAACAAACAGCGTATTCTTGCATCCGAAATTTTGGTTAACTTACGGCTTCTCCCATTTGGTTCTCTCCACAGATTCAGCCCATACGATAAAGTAGTCCGGAATCATCCTTTTATGAATAATACAAGGAAGAAAAAGTTATCCTTCTTGCATAAAAAATTGCTTCGATTGTTGGGGAGTTAGCATGAATTACCTACTCCATATCTGGGCATGAACCGTTCGACAGTTCTGCTTAAATGCTTTAGTACAGCAACACAGGATTACCAAATAAGGTTGCTTCTGACGCTTTACTTACTGAGTGTCCTCTCTCGCTGGCTGTGGTATCTAAACATTGAATTCTTCAGGTACTGTGATTGTCTCAGTAAATCTCTGTTACCATGAAGTAAAAGTAAGCCCTCGCAAAGTCGCATACTTTGTAAGGACAGTGTTAATTAGCGCCGAACTGGCGGTTGCAAGATGGCCAGTGTTTAAGAGATCGGCTTCGAACTCCGCATATGCCGGGTCCAATTCCGATCGAGAGCAATTTTTGACTTATTCGTGGATTTCCTTGAGCAAGGCATTTGCCACACTGTCCTTCAGAACGATTCAGGGTTCAAATCCCGTGGGTTCACTTGCCCTTTTTCCTTCTTAGATCGATAAATTAGTAACATTCCGATAGAAGGAAAAATGAGGCAGCACACCACCCTTGTCACGTGGCTCTAAATTCTGCTTGAAAATTAGGCACTCCTGGCGGCTGGCAAGAGAACATAGGTCACCATCGTCAAATCAACTTCAGGAAAAGAAGGAAGAAAGAATGACTCCATCATGAAAGTATGCGGAAGTGTGTGTTGTACTCGTTGAGACCGTCACCTTGAGCAGTTTGCATGAGCACAAGCTATCTCTCTTTGTGACTTCTTCTGTATCCGAAGCTTCGCAAGAATTTTCTTTTACGACGTAGGTTGCAACATCACGGAAGACAACATTCCTCCCCGAAAGTAGGTATGTCTCTACTTTGCTTATACGTGTTGCATGCTGGCTTCCTGGTCGAGGACTGAAGTGTTTCAGCTCTCAAGCGAGAAGACCACCGATTGGAGTAAATGGCGTATGCTCGACGTATTTGCATAACAGAGCCAACCTCTGTTGTTTAATCTTCCAATCTATCAGTGCCCAGAAGAAAATAGGATCATTCTTAACCTGGTCTTGTCACCTACCTCATTATGTGTCGAAGTCAGACCGTTTTTTTCTGCTCAGTCGTTAAAACCCGTATCTCTATGCCGTATAATAAGATTAACATGAGAAACGTAAGGTACAGACGAACCCATTTTCGAACGAAGAGAAAACCATTTCTCAGCCCAAATATTCGAAAGGTTTCGAAGAACACTCGAGGATAAAACGATCCTTTAATTTAACTCTGGCTCAATAATACCATCATTAAAATTATGAAGCTGGAATAATTAAATTGATCAACCTCTTGAAGTTGTTCATCGCCCTGTTCCACTTGTAAATCAGCGGCACCACGTGCGTTAAACACGAGGCCGGCTTTCGTAACTGTACTGCGTAGGAAATCCGTCAGGTGATGACAGGGCTCGCATCCCATACTATTCGCCAAAGCACCATAATCTCTGTACTCCACGTGAGCAAGACATCTAGCCGGATTTTTTGAATGGCGCCTTCTATCTAAAATGAGGAGAGCGTTAGCATTCTTCTAGACAGGAAAGACGAGAACAGCGCTGAAAAGCAAGGGAGAAAGCAAATATCCCGGGAATCTGGGCAGTTAATAGGATACCATTCAGATAGCTCTGTCCAAACTTTGACAGCAGACGTGATTCCTGCGTGTCAAAATGTAGCTGATGTGCTCAGGTATCCAAGAGCATTCTAAAATTTTCCATATTGTTGGATAATATAATGAATCAGATTCACCCTTAAAGTCTAGGGTACTGGCAAATGAAGACAACTGGTATCACTGGAATTGCTTGATGCTTTCTATACGGAAGGAAAATTGTGTCGGGTTGGATTACCCACTATGTAACCCAGCATAATTTTGGCAAACACTGTCATAGATTCCGTTATTTAACCTCTTCAGAATAATCGAAAGGAAAAATTTCGAGGGATTTGACG